AGATTGAGCACCTGGGCTCAAGTAATTCTCCTGCCTTCAGCTCCCAAGTAACTGGGACTACAAGCATGCAACACTGGGTCTGGATTTTGGTATTCTTTTTTTTTTTTTTTTTGAGACAGAGTCTCACCATGTCACCCTGGTAAAGTGTCATGGTGTCACAGCTCACAGCAACTTCCAACTCTTGGCTTAGGCGATTCTCTTACCTCAGCCTCCAAAGTAGCTGGGACTACAGGCACCCACCACATGCTCGGCTATTTTTTTTTTTGGTTGTAGTTGTCACTGTTGTTTGGCAGGCCAGGGCTGGGTTTGAACCTGCCAGCTCTGGCGTATGTGCCTGGCGCCCTAGCCGCTGAGCTACAGGTGCCGAGCTGGCTTTTGGTATTCTTATGGAAAGAAAAAATTGGGACACAGAGTTACACACGAATGTGGAGAAATGTCATGCGAAGATTGGAGTTAGGCTAACACAAGTCAAGCAATATCGAGATCACCAACAAATCGCCAGAAGCTAGGGAAGAGGTATGTAACACTCTCCCATTCAGAAAGAACTAACCCTGGCAACCCCTTCATTTGGACTTCCAGCTTTCTGAACTATGAGATGTTATGTTTCTGTTGTGTAAGCAACCCAGTTTGTTGCACTTTGTTATTGGCAGCACTAGCAAACTATACAGCATCTACACTTAGATGATTCAGAAACCCAAATTTCTACTGTGCTCTCTTTTTCTGCCTAACAGCACTATTCCCTTTCTCTATCTATGCAACTTTTTAGCACAGTGAAGTAGAACCCGCAGTATCATTACCAACTGTGAGATATAAAGAGTCATCTTTGAATTCTTAGAGACCTCCCTCCCACAGTCGGGCAATCATTCAAATGGCTGAAGGGTTAGGAATAGGGGCTTTGAAGTCGACTGGGTTCAAATACCAGCTTCCACATTTATTAGCTGTGTGATCTTGGGCAACCCTCCAAGGCTTGCTTTCCTTGCCTGTTATAGAGGGCTACTACTGGCACCACCACACATGGTCCCTATCATCATCAAGGGAGAACATATATGATAAGAATTTAGTACATTGCCTGGCGTACAGAAAATGCTAAACAAAATTAACTACCCTTATTGCTCATAAAACAAACTTTAGAGCACATTCACTTTTCATATGTATTTCAGACTCATGTGTATACATTATTGTGTTATAATCTGATATCGTAAGAGCGACTAGCCGCCAATCTCTATTTAGCATGGTCTCCTACTTTTTCCAGTTTCTTAAATAGAGAGGAAGTAATCCCCCAAATCTCATATAGATAATTTATATAAAAGAATCTTTGCGACACCTTTATGTCCTTTTAACTTCATTTTGCAGGTTAAAGCCAGTCATATGTGTATTTCTAGATCTAAGTGATGTTAAGGCAGAGGTCCATGATCTCTGTGTCAATAGAATGAACAGAGTATGGGTAGCTAGAAGATAGACACCAAGTCTGAGTTGGTTGGTACTATGCTGGGACCGACCAAATATGTTGTTTTGCTATGATTATTTTCCCCACTTCTGTTTCTCAAGTCTTTACCAAATTCTCTGCTTCTTTCTTAAAATTATTTTGGTGAAGAAAATCTAGTATGCGTAGCGTATTAACTTTTCCTAACCTTAGCTAATAAGAAATGTGCTAGTATTTTAACACACAGCTAGTATTTTACTGAACAGAGTAAAACTGAAAGCTTTTCCTCTTAGAAGTGGAACCAAGTAAGGTTGTCCTCTGTCACCATTACTGTCACCAATTCAACATTGTGCTGGAAGTTTTAGCTATAGACAAGCCAAGAAAATAAAGGGCATCTAAATGGGAGCAGAGGAGGTTAAACTCTCCCTTTTTTGCTGATGATATGATCTTATACCTGGAGAATGCCAAAGACTCAACCACAAGACTCTTGGAAGTCATAAAAAATACAGTTATGTCTCAGGATATAAAATCAATGTCCACAAGTCAGTTGCCTTTGTATACTCCAACAACAGCCAAGATGAGAGGTTAATTAAGGACACAATTCCCTTCACCATAGCCCCAAAGAAAATGAAATACTTAGAAATATAACTAATAAAAGAGGTGAAGGACCTCTATAAAGAAAATTATGAAACCCTAGGAAAGGAAATAGCAAAGGACATGTACAAATGGAAGAACATAGAATGCTCATGGCTGGAAAAATCAATATTGTTAAAATGTCTATACTTCCCAGAGTAATTTACCGATTCAATGCCATTCTTATTAAAATACCAACATCCTACTTTCAAGACTTGGAAAAAATGATTCTGTGTTTCATATGGGACCAGAAAAAAACTCGTATAGCTAAGGCACTTTGGGGGTATCCCTATACCAGATTTTAGGCTGTACTACAAGGCCATAGTGGTCAAGACAGCATGGTACTGCTAAAACATTATTTACCACACTCTCTTTCAAAAATACAAGCGTGTTAAGGTAGCCAGAAAAGCCAAGAAAGCCAGTCATAGCTTGGTTCTTAGCCTTTGGTCTACTTAGAATACCCTCTCCTCTCCTCCTATGTTCACCTGCTGCGAAACTTAATTTTTTCTTGAGCCCTTTTCAAATGCTACCACAAACCTTTCCACATCATTCCAAATCCCTAAGTCCCTGCACTGGAGTCCTCCTGTGGCCCTGAAATATTCAATCTTTGGCTCACATCTTAATTCCAACACAAAAATGTGAAGTGGAAGAAGTTAATCTCATCATCATATACCATGGGAGTTTTTCTTTGAAGCAAAAGCTCAATGAACATTTGCATGACTTACTGATGGAGAGAAGCAGGTTCAGCATTTTAAAAATGAAACTCAAGGGCAGTGCCTGTGGCTCAGTGAGTAGGACACCAGGTCCAAACCCAGCCTGGGCCAAACAACAACCAAAAAATAGCCGGGCGTTGTGGCCCGCGCCTGTAGTCCTAGGTACTTGGGAGGCTGAGGCAAGAGAATCATCTAAGCCTAAGAGCTTGGAGGTTGTTGTGACCTGTGACGCCACAGCACTTTACCGAGGGTGAGCAGAGTGAGACTGTCTCTAAAAAAGAGAGAAACAATTAAAAATGAAACTCAAAGCATTTGAAAAGGTAAGCACGAACTGAATTTTTTTTTTTTTTTTTGCAGTTTTTGGCCAGAGCTGGGGTTGAACCTGCCACCTCCAGCACATGAGGCGCCCTACCCTTTTGAGCCACAGAACCGCTGAACTGTATTAATTTATTAAAGATTCAGTAAGTCTCTATTCTGGTTAACGCTCGCTGGCAAGTTTATTACCAAGTCTGCCATGATGAGCTGCTCACTGTATCCACAACGCTAGCACTCAACAAGTGCTTAATAGTTGTTGACTGGCTTGGCGACGTCTCAGGAGAGGAAACTAAAATAAACAAAAAAGGCAGTATTGGGTGGTGCCCGTGGCTCAAAGGAGTAGGGCCCCGGCCCCATATGCCGCAGGTGGCGGGTTCAAACCCAGGCCCGACCAAAAACTGCAAAAAAAAAAAAAAAGGCAGTACTTGGAACATTTAGCTGTGTTTCGTGCGTTTAAGGGAATTGCCCATCACTTCGATATTTATTTATTCATTCATTTAGAGACAGTCTCTCTTTGTTGCCCCTTGGTAGAATGCCCTGGCCGCACAACTTATAACAACCTCAAACTCTTGGGCTCCAGAGATCCTCTTGCCTCAGCCTCCCCAGTAGCTGAGAATACAGGTGCCTGCCACTAAACCCAGCTAGTTTTTCTACTTTTAGTATACATCGGGATCTCCCTCTTACCCAGCCTGGTTTCTAACCCCTGAGCTCAAGCAATCCACCGCCTTGGCCTCCCAGAATGCTAAGACTACAGGCGTTAAAACACGCCAGGCCACACTTCAAAATTTAAAACGTTGCTTCTGGGGCAAAAATTGGAGTTTGAGGGTTCTCGAATTCGATCACTAACTCTGCCAGGTCCTGGATGAAAAAGACAGGATTTCTCCGAGTGCGTTTCTCATTTCTGTACTCCCAGACCCTATCCCTGTGTCAGGCACAAGGTAGGTGTTTAAAATGCATCTAAAGAATCCTGATTTGCGCGGGACAAGCAATGTAGGGCACGATCAAGCATTCAAAACTAAACAAAAACAAACTTCGTTTAGAACCAACTCTCCCACTATGTTTAGAAACCAGAACTGACCAATACATGCCAGGAAAATGGGCTCTGTTAAGTGCTTAGAAAGAGTGAAAAGGCGTTGGCCGTTGTCTCTTGCAAACAAAGAGAGCACCACCCACGAAATGACACATTCGCGGACAAAGAGACTAAGGAGCGAAGGAACCCAACGCGCTTTCTCGCTAGCTCAGTCTAGTTGGGTCACTGGAAACCACCACGTGGTGGGGGAAGGGTTGAACTGACGTTTTGGGGGCGCCAGAACTCCGGGGGGAGGTCTAAGACCAGGCAGACACCAGTGCTTGACAAATCTTCTTTGGCCCCTCTCGCGCTCCATAGAAAGAACTTTCTGGGCTTTCACAGGCCACGCCCCTGGAAAAGACCCGAGGCTGCCCTCGGGATGCCTGCTGCGCGCACCGCGGACCGGCCGACCACGGGCGCACTTGTAATACTCTGGTCTCAGAATCGAATTGCCTCAATCCAGACGGAGAAACCCCCGAGGCCCGGCACCGCGAGAGCCGCCGCTCTAGTGGGCGGGAGTGCGCGTGCGCGCAGGGGGCCTAAGCGCCCATAAATACCGCTGTGCGTCGGGCGCGCGCCGGTGTCTGAATAACGCGGAGGCGGATGTTTGTGGTTAATGGAGGCCCCAGCTTGTTTCCTGACTGGTTTGTGGATCGGCTGGGATTGGTGGAGATGTGAGTCGAGGCTGACTTCCTTAGTAAGTTAGGGGTTATTTTTGCCTTTTTCCGGTGAGTTCAAGATTCACCTTCACGCGTAACCCACCGCCATGGCCGAGGAAGGGTGAGCCCAGGGGCTGGGGTCGGGCTGCCAGTGAGGCGCCGCCGCGAGCCTGCGGCGCGGGGCCGGGTGGGCCGGGTCGCCGGGAGCGCGCCTGTTGTAGGTTACGCCTCTGCAGTCTACGGCGTTCAGTGGTGCGAAGGTTTTAACTGAGGGTTCTGACTTGGCGCGGTTCAGCATTGCTGCTGAAGGTGTAATAGATGTGAACACCGCTTTACTAGAGGTGCTGAAGACCGCCCTCATCCATGATGGCCTTGCACGTGGAATCCGCGAAGCTGCCAAAGCCTTAGACAAGTACGTGTATCAGTCTCAATACTGTGGGTTGTTGCAACCGGAACAAAATTGCAGCCCAGGGGAAAAAGCGTGAATGAAGTTCATGATGTTAGCCCAAAAGTTCAGAGTGGCATCTATATCCATCCTAGGAAAAGGTATCAGCGCTCTTGTGAGTTGCTGTTCGCACTGGAGTTGAGACTTAGTTTTAGGCTTTGCGCCCGTAGGTCAGTGGTTAGGGCACCGGCCACATACACCAAGGCAGGCAGTTGCGAACCCGGCCCTGGTCTGCTAAACGACAGTGAGAGCAGTAACAAAAAAGTAGCCAGGCGTTATGTTGGGCGTCTGTAGTCCCAGTCTGAGGCAAGAGAATCGCTTAAGCTCAAGAGTGTGAGGTTGCTGTGAGCTGTGACGCTACGGCACTCTACCAAGGTGATATAGTGAGAGACTCTGCCTCAAAACAAACTTGCTCTTAGTCCAACAAAAACTACAGTGTTTGATTGATGACTTCAGTTGTCGGATACCCCTTCACTCTTGTTCCGAGTGACACATAACAATCTGACAAACTTGGAGGTTATGGGGTTAGTAGTTTTCTGGAGGTTAATTGGACAACCTTGTTGCATTTAACAGTTTAGAAACTATCCGGTTAAATTAATAATGAATAACTTAAGCATTTTGTCCTGAAGTTATTGCAGAAGCATTTCATTCTAAATGAATTTGGTAAGTGCAGTAGCTGTGGAAATACATTTGAATCTGGAATACTCGTTATGTTGGCAGAACAGCTTAACATAGAGCTGAGTTTAAGTGCATTTTTAGGGTCTCCACTGTTTACTTTGGTATAATCTAGCCAGGTGAATACATCCACTGTTGTGTGATGTAATGCATGCTGCAGTGCACTGGGCCCTGGTGTGAATCTTGTGTAGTATTGACAGGTTGGCCGTCCTGCGCTGTATTTTTGCAGTGGTTGGACCAGTAACATTACAACTGTATTTGGTAGTTGACATAACACATTTCTTTGGATATATGAGACTGATTTACCAGAAAGTTACCATTTTGACCACAAGTTTTTCAGTTACTTCCCCTATACAAACCTGGAATTTGGGGGGAAGAAATCTTAAGTGAAATTTACTTAGTTTTTCTTTAAGTGAACAAGATGGCTGGTAAGAATCATCGGATTTGAGCACTTATATGCACATTTGTGGGGTGGTATTCAATAAAGTGCAAGAGTGGTGGGTTTAGGTCTGGATTTTAACTTCATTGTTGTGTTTTGAATTTCAGGCACCCATCTTTGTGTGCTTGCATCCAACTGTGATGAGCCTATGTATGTCAAGTTGGTGGAGGCCCTTTGTGCTGAACACCAAATCAACCTAATTAAGGTAAGTTACTCATCTAAATTGATGTGTCTGGTCTGTTAGTACATCCTTTAGGAGAATTGGGCTAGTTAAGGGTCATTATGTTAAGACTGATGCTGTCCATAGTGATATTTGTCATACTAGTGTAAGAATTAGTTCCATAATCCTTAGTTTGTTTTCTACAAGTGTAAACGTACCATGGACTTGTCGTTGTTGGCTGTGTTAAGGCTTTTAATAAAAGCATTCTATACCTGTAGAACTAAAATGCTAATTTTGATGTTGATATAGAACAAAAGTAAGATAAAGTGCTGATAGGTGATCTTTTGTGCTGTACATGATGACAACTGGCTCCCTCTACTGAATTGTCATGAAGAAACTGCCATGTCACCCTTCTGACTACAGCCACCTGTTGGGTTTAATTTATTGTTAATGGCATTAATGCTTATTAATGTGACTTTTTTTTTTATTCTCCTGGTAGGTTGATGACAAGAAGAAACAGGGAATGGGTAGGCCTTTGTAAAGTTGACAGAGGGGAAACCCCATAAAGTGCTTGGTCACAGTTGTGTAGCAGTTTAGGTAAGTCACTTTGTTTTTAGGGTGAATAAAGGTTATGCTGGGTAACTGCATAACTTTGTATTAAGTTAAGTTTGAGGACCTTTTAAAGGAAAGAATACAATACTCAAAAGAGTTAAAAACATTTTCTGTGTTTCAAAAAAGAAAAATTTGATTATTAGTGTTATAGAAGTCAGCCAATTAATCTGCTTACCTGAATGTGTTTCTGCAGAAATTTTTTAAAAGCTGGCATTGAAGTTGTTAAGGGCCCTTAAAATGGCTGTAACAAATTTTAGTGATGTTACACACTTTCATAAGGCATAATTTTAAAGCTTGGCTGTGAGTAATGCTAAGAACTTAGTGGAATTTATAAATGTTAACAAGAAGTTGCGCGTGATTTTTTTTTGAGACAGTCTATATCTGTTGTGCTAGGTACAGTGCTATGGTGTCATAGCTCACAGAAACCTCAAACTCAATGAGCTTGAGTGATCCCCTTGCCTAAACCTCCTGAGTAGCTGAGACTACAGACATCTACCCCAATACCTGGGTATTTTTACTATTTTTAGTAAGGCTAGAGCCTCACTCTTAGGCTGGTCTGGAACTCCTGAGCTCAAACATTCCACCTGCCTGGGCCTCAGAGAGTGCTAGGATTACAGGCATGAACCACTGCACCCAGCCAGTAATTTTTTTTTAAAGGACTATGACAAAGAATCTCAGGCCAATGATGTCATTGAAGAGTACTTCAAATGCAAGAAATGAACGAATAAAACTTTGGCTTATATTCCTTATCTCTGACTTTTTATTTGGGGGAGTAATGTAAGGTGCCTATTAATGAAAGGAAAGGTTATTGAGGAAAACGATCACTATGAATGAAATGAGAACATTCTGTAAAACAGCTCCCTATTTTTGACCTTTCTTGATTTTAAATGAAAGTCTCTTCTAACCAATGCCAGTGTTGGGGCAGTTAAAATATGGACACTTTAAGCAAAGATAGGCCTGCCAATAAGGTGCTAGTGACAGCTAGGGTTACTTGAGTATGGTCATTTGCCACTTACTAGGCCAACCTAGAACCTAGAGAAAGGCTAAAGTTAGGTAAATGGATGTTAATAGACTGCAATCTTATGGCAGGACGGTGAGCAGCAAAGATGGAAAGTATAGAGGTGGGGAGGATAAAATTTAGGCTCTGGCGTGCTAGTAGAAGTGTGTGATAATCCAGAAATGCTTATGAGTATACCTATAGAGAAAGTCATAGCGACACCTGTTTTCATGACTTGAGTGCTTTACAGAGAAATAAGAGATGCTTTAGTTCATCTCAGTCTTTAGGAAACTCAGCAGAAGGTTGAGAAATGGATACTCGTGTATGTCAAGCTTCTGTACAGTTACTATGTTTTGAGGCCATGTACTGGGGCCAAATGTGGTTTTGAATGCTTTTTTTGTATTCATGGTTTTTTTGTATTTAGAGTTGTAGGCTTTCATCCATAGTCTGCCACAAAGTAGGGTCTTTTGTACTGGGTAGCTTGGTGCTTTTGAGCATTGTAGTGGTCTCTAGCTAAACACTGGTTGGCATCAGTAAACCAGGTATTCATTATGGTGTATTGAATTACCACTGGTGTGAAATAAGAAGCTCTAGAGGTAATATTACTTATAAACAGTGTGGGTATACCCTTTAGATAGTGTGACTTGGGATTTTATTGAATAGCACTTTAAAAAATTATAAATGGGGACGGTGCCTGTGGCTCAAGGAGTAGGGCACCAGCCCCATATACCAGAGGTGGTGGGTTCAAACCCGGCCCCAGCCAAAAAAAAAACTGCAATAAATAAATAAATAAATAAATAAACTGTAAAAAAAAAATAAAAATAAAAAAAAAAACAAAAAATGAGTTAAAAAAAAAATTATAAATGGCTATTTTGAGAAGCTCTTCAGTGTTTTCCCTTTTTTTTTTTTTATTGTAAATAGCTATTCAAATTAATATGAGGATACAATATTTAGGTTACATTGTTCTCACTTCCAGGGTAAAGTTCCATTTGTAGAGAAGCCCCTTACCCAAGGGGCATGTGCACATTAGGTGAGATCCCACCTCCTGCCCTCCCTCCTTCTGCCATATGACGCCTGCCCCTCTCCTTCCTTCCACCCCTGAACTGGACTATAGTAGTGTTTTACTGGTCTTAGGGACAATTGTTCATATATTGATTTCTTATTAGTATAGAGTAATTGGATATTTATTTTTCCATTCTTGCGATACTTACTAAGAAGAATGTATTTCAACTCCATCCAGGTAAATGTAAAAGATGTAAAGTCTCCATCTTTTTTTAATGGCTGAATAATATTTCATGGTATACGTATACCACAGTTTGTTGATCCATTCATGAGTTGATGGGCGCTTAGATTCCTTCCACAACTTGGGAATTATGAATTGAGCTGCAGTAAACATTCTAGTGCAAATGTCTTTATGGTAAAATGATTTTCTTCTGGGTAGATACCTAGTAATGTGATTGCAGGGTCACATGGAAGATCTACTTCTAGATCTTTGAGGATTCTCCATACTACTGTCCAAAAGGGCTGCATTTGCAACCCCACCAGCAGTATAGAAGTGTTCCAGTGTTCTCTTTTGAGGTTATTAGGAAAACTCTGCAGTCTGTGCTATATCCCCATTCTGTGAATTCTAGCTTCCTACCTGCTCCTGGAATTAAATCAGCTTTATTTTGCTTTGATGTTTTTATGTCCATTGTTAACTTAGCTGCAAAAAGACAGCTTGCTTTGTTGCCCTACCTGGAGTGGAGTGGTGCTCTCTTAGCTCACTGTATCCTTAAACTTAACTAAAACGATTCTCCTGCTTAAAATCATTATGTCTGGCTAGTGTTTTTGGTTTTCTTGTGGAGACCAGGTTGCATAGGCAGGTTACAACTCTGGGCTTTAAGGTATCTTCTTGCCTCAGCTTTCTGAAGTGCTGGGATTACATGTGCCATCCAGCCTGCCAGGCTTTTTAAATAAGCACTGTTTTATGTTGCCACTTTAACCTTTGCTACTCTTTACAATCCTGGTACTTCCTCTCCCCACCTTTGCAGTTGTAGTAGTTTCGAGAGTTCAGGCTGGGATTGGTTTACTTCTCTGCAGTGTTCTGGGCCATTTTCCCACACTAACAGGGTCATGTGATTCTCAAACCTACTTGGTATATATGCTAAGTACATGGCACACCTACTTGCGCCTCAAGTTTCATGTGCCTTGAGGTGAACTTCATCATAACACATTTGAGAAGAGGGTTACTGAGAAATACTGGTATATACTAGACTCTGCACCATTTCCATCTGTTAATTATTACTACCTCAAAATTTCCTCAGCCATACTCCTCAGACTTTTCAGCTCCTGCCTCTGCTTGTCTTAACAGCCTTCGTAGAAGTTCATCCAGATGATTTTCATGCTGTAATTCTATTTTAGTTATTGAAGCTTAAGAGTTAAAAAGTGAACATGCCCTTCTTTTTATGACTGGTTGTTCATTCCTCTTCTGTCTGAAGTACCTTTTCTCCATCTGGATGTGTCCTTATCCTTAAAAACTCAGCTCAAATATAATGTAAGCTTTATGACACACCTGTGTAGTTTATGGGATTTTTGAGGGAGCCCATCAAAGCTAACCTTCTATGGCAGAAGCAGATATCATCATTTTTAATTGGGGAAAATAGTTTTATGTAACCAGTTGCTTCATGTGCTCAGAACCTTGAAGACATTGCTCATAAACCTCAAAGGAGATGTCTGAGCCAAGCACTGGGCTTTGCTTGCTCCCATGGACGAAAGACCAGTGAGTCCTTGCTTGCTTTGGCTTTGTGGCAATAAACCACAAGTTCTGTTTTCCTTCTGTTCTCCTTTTTATTTTTGCCTGCTCCTGATTTTATTAAAGTATATTCCATATATTTTTGATAAGCCACTGTAAATGCTTTAGAAAAATGCATCTGAGACATTCACAGAGAAATTGTACAAAGGCTGTGTTGTGTACACTGCTATTAAAAAGAAGTTGTCAGTCTAGCCATTGTTGAGACAATGGAAACATTATATAGATGGCAGAGTTACAAACCCTAGGCAAGTGTGGGAGCATCTATTGTTCTTAATGAGAACTAATCTAGCCTTGAAGTGGAGCTTGTCTCTTTCTAGTTGAATGTACTTTTAGACTGGTAGGCTCAAGAAATACATTAGCACAAGTGCTCCTGAGAGCCATGGAGTGGGAGAATATGTAGTCAAAGAAGGGAAATGAGTTTGTGGCTTTCACCCCTCCAGGTGGAGGCCGAGTGGGCCAGGATGTTGTCTTCCCAGGCTGGCTTTTTCAGAAAGCTCAATCCACATGCCTAAAGAATACAACTTGGCTCGGTGCCTGTGCCTCAAGTGGCTTAGGCGCCAGCCACATACCCTAAGGTGGTGGGTTCGAATCCAGCCCGGGCCCACCAAACGACAATGATGGCTGCAACCAAAAAAAAAAGCCAGGTGTTGTGGCGGGTGCCTGTGGTCCCAGCTCCTTGGAGGCTGAGGCAACAGAATCACTTAAGCCCAGGAGTTGGAGGTTGCTGTGAGCTGTGAAGCCAGGGCACTCTACAAAAAAAAAAAAAAAAAAAAAAAAAATACAACTTGTGGCAGCAAGCTCCAGCAAGAGTAATAGAAGCAGCTTGGCTGGGCTAGACAGGTACCCAGGAGAGAGGCCGCTAGGCTCTCCTGTCCTCTACAGAACTTACTGGGTAAAGGCTCTCGGTGCTGGGAGTGGAAGAGTCACTGAGGTCAAAGTTGAAGGTGAATGTTACAGACAGAGGTCAGGTATGCAGGGTTTGGAGAGCACAGTATTGACACATGAGCATATTCAGAGGGACTGGGAACAAGGTTCCTCAGGCAAAAATGTGTCATGAGTTTTTTTTAAAAACATGACACTACCACATGAAAATTGAAATAGCTGTTCATTTGTCAGATGTTTCAACCCGCTGATGAAAATTGCATAAAAATCTAGGGTTTGCTTGGAAAGGCTTAGAAACTAGGGAGAAGGGTGGATCTTCCCTTCAAGGATTTTTCACGTACACGGATGGGTGGTTTTCTAAGCTCTGTCCTACTTTGCATGAATTGCCCCCTTAAAGTTCTTTTTCTTTTTTCTTTTCTTTTCTTTCTTTCTTTTTTGCGAGAGTGTCACTCTGGGTAGAGTTCCACACTGTCGTCATAGCTTACAGCAACCTCAAACTCTTGAACTCAAGGGATTCTCTTACATCAGCCTCCCAAGAAGCTGGGACTAGAGGTGCCCACTATGACACTTGGCTCTTCTATTTTTCATAGAGATGGAGGTCTTCCTCCTGCTCAGGGTGGTCTTGAACTCCTAAGCTCAAGTAGTCCACCCACCTCAGTCTCCCAAGTGCTAGGATTACAGGTGTGAGACACCACACCTAGCTGCCACTTTCTTTTTTTCTTTTTGCTCCATGTTCAGTGACTGATCACACTTCTAATTTTGTTTCCGTAGTGCCTTGGCTTTCAGAAAAAAATGCCACAGAGAAGAGAGAAAAGTGTTTTTAGTTTTGGTTTTGGGTTTCTTTTTAATGTGGACTAAGCAACCTGAGTTACTAAGCCTATAAAAATGGAGACCCTGATGATCTTTCTGGGGGCCTTGCCAGTTCATAAGGGTCTGTCAAATTTTCATTGTTTGATGAGAAAGGGAGACAGTATTTCCTCAGCATCGATTTGGAACGTCTTTGGAGAACACATTTGTTAGACTAGTTTTCATATGGAAGAATAGGTATGCTATAAGTACATTAGTCACAGAGCTATAAATACCTTTGTTGGTTGAAGGAGAATGATTACGTGAAATGCATATTTGCATAATAGAACATTAGGATGCCATAGAAATGGAGATATGGAAGGACGTTTTTTAATTTTAAACAGCAGTGTTCAACACAAGAGGGCCTCTACCTAACATGCAAACGTTGTCACCTAGTGAACTTTCACATCAACCTGAAATTTGAAAAAAATGAAAAGCAGTCAATAAAACACATACAGTATCATTTATAAAAACAACCACCAAAGAAAATATAGGCCGGGTGACTCATGCCTGTAATCCCAGCACTCTGGAAGCCCAAGGCAGGAGGATTGCTTGAGGTCAGGAGTTCACGACAAGCCTGGGCAACATAGATCTCATCTCTGCAAAACAATTTAAAATAACTTTGATGTGGTGGCATGTGTCTGTAGTCCTACCCACTTAGAAGGCTAAGTTGGGAGGATCGCTTGAAACCAGGAGTTTAAGGCTGCAGTGAGCTATGATGCCACTGCCCTCCAGTTGTGGTGATAAGAGTGAGTAAGAAGAACCTATTTTTTTTTTTTTTTGAGACAAAAATCTTACTTTGTTGCCCTTGGTAGAGCACTGTGGTGTCATAGCTCACAGCAACCTCAAACTATTGGGCTTAAGCGATTCTCTTGCCTCAACCTCCCAAGTAGTTGGGACTACAGGCACCCACCACAACGTCTAGCCAATTTTTTTTTTTTTTTTTTAAGAGATGAGATCTCACTCGGGCTCAGACTAGTCTCGAATTCCTGAGCTCAGGTGATTCACCTACCTCGGCCTCCCAGAGTGCTAGGATTACAGGCGTGAGCCCCCATGCCCAGCAGAACTTATTTCTTTAAAAAGGGGGGGGGGGGAATAAAGGCCAAGTGTTGTGGCTCAGGCCTGTAATCCTGAGCACTTTGGGAGGCCAAGGCAGATAGATAGCTTGATGTTAGGAGTTGAAGACCAGCCTGAGCAAGAGAAGACCTGTCTCTACTAAAAGTAGGAAGAAGTAGACTAGTATGGTGACAGGCACCTATAGTCCCAGCTACTTGAGAGCTTGAGAGGCTGAGGCCGAAGGATTGCTTGAACCCAGGAATCAGAAGTTGCTGTGAGCTGTGATACCATGACACTCTAACCAGAGTGACAGAGTGAGAGTCTGTCTCTTAAAAAAAAAAAGTGTATATATATATGTATATATACACACAGAGCTACATATATACACAAGGTGTCCAAAGTATATCCAATTTAAAATAGTTAGAACTTTGTAAGTATATGTGATAGAAAGAATTCGTAAAAAGGAGTAGAAAGCTTGATGGTGGCTCACGCCTGTATTCCCAGCACTCTTGCAGGCCCAGGCAGTGGATTGCTTGAGCTCAGGAATTCAAGACCAACCTGAGCAAAAGCGAGACCTTTTCTCTAAAAAATAGCTGGGCGTTGTGGCAGGTGCCTGTAGTCCTGTAGTCCTGGCTACTGGGAGGCTGAAGCAAGAGAATCACTTGAGCCCAAAAGTTTAAGGTTGCTGTGAGCAATGACGCTGTAGCACTCAACCCCAGGGTGACTGAGTGAGACTCTGTCTCAAAAAAATATAAATAAATAAAAAATAAAACTTGATGGCTTGATGTATCTAATTTTTTTATCTTTAGAAATGTTAGTTTTAGAAATTTAACTTAAAAGTTACTTATTTTTCAGACTCACTGTTGACTCATGGCTTCACTAGAAGAGAAAGTAAATTGTGTTCTTTGGTTAATTGAACTAAAATCTACTGCTGCTGTCCAAAGAAGGTTTAGAACACATTACAATAAAGAAGCACCACACAGGAATTCCATATCCAAGTGGATGAAAAAATATAAAGAAACGGGCTCTGTCAATGATAAACCACGGTCTGGTAGGCCACGTGTTAGTGAAGAAATTGTAGCGTCTGTAGAGGAAACCTTTGAGGCAAGTCCAAGAAAGTCATTAAGACAGGTATCACTAGAGCTGAGGCTTCCAAGGTCTACCGTGCAGAAGATTCTGCGGACAAGACTTCACACAAAAGCATACAGACTTCAAGTGCATCAAATGTTAGAAGAGGATTATCATGCACGACTAACTTTCTGCCACCAGTTCAATGAAAAACTTAGCAATGATGACACATTTTTGAGTAATTTAATGTTCTCTGGTGAAGCAACATTCCATGTTAGTGGCAAGGTTAACAGGCATAATTGCCATATTGGGGGAACTGAAAATCCACCTGAGTCTGTTGAACATGAAAGAGATTCTCCCAAAGTTAATGTGTGGTGTGCTTTGGGAAAAAATCAAGTCATAGGGCCATTCTTTTCTGAAGGGTGTGTTGTTAATGGTGATAGCTATTTAGAAATGCTGCAAAATCACTTCATTCCTCAGCTTGAACAATTAGGACTCATGGAGAATATAGTGTTTCAACAAGATAGTGCTCCTTGTCACTTTGCTTTGCAAGTTAGACAGTTTCTACATGAAAAATTCCCTAACAGATGGATTGGAAGAGGTGGACCATTTTCTTGGCCTCCACATTCTCCAGATTTGACTCCATTGGACTTCTTTTTATGGAGGCATGTGAAAACTAATGTTCATTCAACCAAACCTCAATCTTTAGAAGACTTGCAAGCTAGGATAACTGATGTGATTGCTGGTATTACTGAAAATCAGCTTGAAAATGTTTTCCTGGAACTACAGAATCGCATTACCCTCTGCATTGGTAATGATGGTAGATGTGTTGAAAATTAGCAATAACAATAAAAAATGTGTTTCTTTTTTTTTAACCCCTTTTACAGATTCTATCACATACTTAACAAAGTTACAACTATTTAAAATTGCACATGAACTTTATGGACACCCTGTATAGAAGGGTGAATGCCAGCAGAGAAGAGAAGTTGGAAGGATATATATCAAAGTGTTAACAGTTCCGAAAAGGTTTTCATTGGCTCATTTGCTTTTCTGTTCTCTTTAGTCAACATGTATTGCTTTCGTAGTGAGAATTGTTTAATTGAAGAAATAATGGTACGGTACATTCTTGGAGTTAATTTTGAGCGTCATTAATGTACTAATTTTTTTAACTTTGTTTTGTGAATCAAATGAATTTATTATCTACTTGTCCAGTAAAATCATGTTTGTATTATAAAACAGAACTACTTAAAAAAAACTGAATTCATACCTGGCCAGTAGAGGGCAGTGAGAAGCTGATGGCAGGGAGGGACCTGTCACTGAAAAATAGGAAGATTAATAGATAAGAAGCACTGTAGTGGGTTCTCCAGAGTGCCAGTGGCATCGTAGCTCACAGCAACTTCAAACTCTTGGACTCAAGCAGTCCTCTTGCCTCAGCCTCCCGAGTAGCTGGGACTATATGCATCTGCCACAACACCAGGATATTTTTTTAGAAATGGGATCTTGCTGTTCCTCAGGCTGGGCTCAAACTGCTAAGCTCAGGCAGTCACCCACTGCCGCCTCCCAGAGTGCTAGGATTACAGGCATGAGCAACCATGCCCAGCTTTTGGATTTAGTTTAATAAAAGTTTCCAATTATGGTAATAACTCAGAATAGACCTAATTAGCCTTGCTTTTAGACCCATTTCAATTTTAAGTGCTTAAATTTAAAGGAGATTGGAATTTTTTTTTTTTTTTTGAGACAGAGTCATTGCTCTGTCACCCTGAGGTTGAGTGCAGTAGCATCATAGCTCACAGCAGCCTCCAACTCTTGGGCTCAAATGATTCTCTTGCTTCAGCTTCCAGAGTATCTGGGACTATAGGCACCCTCCACAACGCCCGGCTACTTTTAGAAATAGGGTCTCCTGGCTCAGGCTGGTCTTGAACCTGTGAGTTCAGAGCAATCCACCCGCCTGGACTTCCCACAGTGCTAGGATTATAAGACACCGCGCCCAGCCTGACAATGGAATTTTCTAGCTTGAATAACTGTAATTAGTGATCATTTTAGGTTGTTAATAGCAATACCAATTAGAATGTAGAAACCACTGATGCACATAGGTTTTTCATGTTCAGAGGTTGCTAATTTTGTTTCATTGTAATATATATGTATGAAATAAGTATCCAATTGTGAGTACTTAAATAGTTTGTTCTCAATAAATGCCTGCAATAAACTAAACATGAAAGCCAACTTAGCATTCCCACACTTGATTAACCCCCACCCCTTTTTCTTTCCTGTCCTAATTCAGGAATAAGTGGATCTCACTGGTCAAATTTCTTATTTAATCTTTTGAAAGTCTTATGACAACATTCACACTTAAAAGCATCAATAAATATCAATAGGAAAAACAGCATTATAGTTTTTTTTTTTTTTTGGTGTGTTTTTTTCCTTTTAGTATCTTTTCTTTAATTAATTTTTTTTTTTTTTGAAACAGTGTCTCACTATGTCACCCTTGGTAGGGTGTTGTGGCATCACAGCTCATAGCATCCTCAAACTTGGGCTTAAGTGATTCTCGTACCTCAGCCTCCCAAGTATCTGGGACTACAGGTACCCACCACAATGCCTGGATGTTTTTTGTTTGTCGTTGTTTGGCAGGCCCAGGCTAGTTTTGAACCTGCCAGCTTTGGTGTATGTGGATGATACCGTAACTACTGTGCTACGGGCGTTGAGCCATCTTTTAGTATCTTTTTATTTTTTTGGAGATAGAGTCTCACTATGTCGCCCTTGGTACAGTGCTGTGACGTCACAGCTCACAGCAACCTCCAGCTCTTCGGCTTAAGCGATTCTTTCCCAGGTAGCTGGGACTACAGACGTCTACCACAACACCCGGCTATAATTTGTTGCAGTTGTCATTCATTGTTCAGCTGACCTGGGCTGCGTTTGAATCTGCCACCCTTGGTGTATGTGGCTGGCGCCATAAACCACTGTGCTACAGGTGCCTAGCCACCCTTTAGTAGCTTTAAAATGCACTTAGTAAGTTTTTGTCTTTTTAAAAAGAAAATAAGTGAGGTTACATTTAGATAATGCCTTCTAACTTATTTTTTGTTTAACAATGTGTCATTGACATTTTGCCATGTTTTAATCGCATTGTAGATAGTTTCAACTTTTAAAGAAGCAGGACTATTGAGAACTCTTCCCAGGGCTTCAAGTCAGATTGAACATTTTGACCTCAATGCAGAATCTACACTGGGTACTGGTCATGTCTGTGGAGGGTAGTGTTTGATCATGAGTTTTGGGAGGTTGTCAGCTGAAGTAATCCAGTTACGTATTTCTAAAAAAATGAAACTAATACATTCTCGGAAAAGGTTTTAATCTGCAGTAGTAGGTTATATGTTTTTATTGGGCTTCCTCCCCTCTCCCTACCATATTGAGAAGATGCTCAGAGTTACCTGAGGAACAAAAGGTTCCAGAGAAGGCCGAGGTTGGAAAACGGGAATAATTCAGAGCGTATGATTTATACAGCATAACTCCGTGGAAGCATCTACTATGTTCTGTGCTGCTCTCCTTGGTGCATAGAGCAGTGTTCAGTGTGGTAGGTGCTCCATTATTTTTAATAGGATCAATAGGTTTCACCTGCTTATTTATTAGTGGGCTTCTCAGGGTTAAACTCAGTCTTTGTTTTCTTTTCCCTATAATTTTGTTTTTTTGAAGTGTAGTCTCACTATGTGGCCCTCGGTAGAGTGCCATGGCTTCACAGTTCACAGCAACACCAAACCTAAGAGATTCTCTTGCCTCAGCCTCCCAAGTAGCTGAAACTACAGGCACTCACCACAATGCCCAGCTGTTTTTTTGGTTGCAGTTGTCATTGTTTAGCAGGCCCAGGCCAGGCTCGAACCCGCTAGCCTCAGTGTATGTGGCCAGCACTTCTCTCATTCATTATGATCCTACTTCTCTCACAACAAAAGTGAATCTCTCAAGTTAAGCCTCTTTCAGACTAGTGTGGTGCCAAGCCATCTCAGCTTCCTTTCTCTCCAGCTCTGCCCAGGGAGCAGAGCAGTGAAACATCCTGTCAACAATATGGGGTATGTACCTCTAAAAGTCTGAAAAAATAATTCTAAAAGCGTCTTGAGACATGGGAATAGTAAAAAGCATGGGAATTCAGGGAAACTTGTTATATGGCAGTAATTTCTTTTTGAAGCTTACTTACTGAGACATGCAAACAGCACAGGATTGTATGAGTGATGTGGGATTAAACCTTACACAAACAAAGTAGTGGCCATTTTATTTTTCCTTCTTTCAACTCAACTGCCCATGCTAAAATTTACAAATGGATATAAAAGTCCTGTTTGTACCTGGTTGGCTTGTGGGAGAAATACCAAGTAAAAGGCCTGTGATAATTCTCAGTGCTGCCACCAGGTTAAAAGAAACAAAATGCACATAAAAAAATCAATCTGAGCTCCACAGAGGAAAATAAAATATTAATATACAAAATCTTATGAATTAAAAACCTCTTCTCATTTAGATTTGATGCAGGATAAACTTGGTGAATTCCAGGGGTCAGCAGATGTTTTGCTAAACGAGGATAGGTGATGTCTTGCAGGGAGCTACTTGCCCACGCTTGGGATGGGCCTGGGCCACTGTTTCAGGAGGGACTACATGGATAATTTTTAAAAGGAAAACCTTTTCTACTTTTCCTGACAAGCTTTATTTGGACATAAAATCATCCTATTCAAAATAACAAAAATGGGGCAGTGCCTGTAGCTCACTGAGTAGGGCACCAGCCACATACACTGAGACTGGTGAGTTTGAACCCACACTGGGCCTGCTAAAACGACAATGATGACTGCAACCAAAACTAGCTGGGTGTTGTGGCAGGTGCCTGTAGTCACAGCTACTCAGGAGCCTGAGGCAAGAGAATCACCTGAGCCCAAGAGCTGGAGGTTGCTGGGGGCTTTGATGCCACAGCACTCTACTGAGGGTGACAAAGTGAGACTCTGTCTCTAACAATAACAACAAAAAATAGCTGGGCCTTGTGGTGGGCACCTGTAGTCCCAGCTACTTGGGAGGCTGAGGCAACAGAATTGCCTAAGCCCAAGAGCTGGAGGTCGCTGTGAGCTGTGATGCCACAGCACTCTACCAAGGGCAATAAAGTGAGACTCTGTCTCTAAAAAAAAGGGCTGTAAAGGAACAATTCTAATGCTAGAATGGTGGCAGCAAGTTCTGTGCACTGCGTAGTTGAATGGCCAATAGTAATAGAATGTTCCCACTCATTTAGATGTTTCCACGTAACTGCTCTTTTGCCACTTTTTTTCTTTTTCTTGGCCAGGGGTGGGTTTGAAGCCACCACCTCCAGTATATGGGGCCAGCGCCCTACTCCTTCAGCCACAGGCGCTGCCCTCCTTTGACACTTTTTCCAGATCCACCAATAAATATAGTAAGGGCATATTTTTATGCATGTATGGGAAATGGTATTAAATTGAATTAAAGGGAGTAGCTGGAGCCCATATATATCTCTGAGAGGAGAGTTCGTAAATTTTAATTCTCCAGTGAAATCTATAAGGGCTATTTGAACAATTCACTGTGGCTCCAAGCTGTCATTAAACTTTATTCGAGGGATAATAACATGAGGATCATATCTGGTGACTTGTTGGCGTCTAATTCTGCTTTGGTAGATTAGAGAAAATCACTGGTTGATTTTTGTAAATAATTTTTTCCTAGTGTAGTAAGTTAAAAAGACCCATTCACTTATTCCTAATTGTGGGGTGAATTGACATAATAAACCAGTTAAACCATGAGGAGTGTTTAAAATAATGAAAATAATTGGCTCTTTTAATGTGAGTGAACTGTGTCTGATCAATTAATTGTTCTATATAATTATTTCTTGTCTACCTTCTGGAGATAAAGCATGGGGGGAAATCAAGGAAGGATTTTCCTTTAACGTACTAAAGAGATGGGTCAAAGCGTGAGTATGAATACCAAAGATGGACATAATCAATTTATGTGTCCTAATATTTTCTGTAAATTATTGAAGGTGATATTATCAGGGATATGCAAAGAAACTCACTGTGGCTGGATACTACGAGTTCCAAGTATATAACCTAAATATTGCCTAGGTTCTTGAGTTTCAACTTTTTCAGGGGCTGTCTTGTAGACCTGCTTGGGCCATAGAAATGGTTAGAAGTTAAAGCATTTGGGAAAGAATAATATTATCCTGATGTGCCAATAAAATGTCACCCATATAATGATATATTAAGGCAGATGGAAACTTGCCCAAGTGGGAGTGAGTGTGTAAGCAACAGAGAGCTGACATAAAGTGAGACTGTTAATCTTTCCTTGGGGTAAGACTTTCCATTAGTAGCATTCCATTGGTGTCCCACAATTAATGCTGGGTATGCAAAACACAGTTTTCTTTATCAGAAGGATGTAAAGGAATT